GTTGAAACGACATTTCTCGATACTATTTGAGGGTGGCTCTAATTTGATTGTTAATTTGATTGTTTAGAGCATGGGCTCTATACAAGCCACACCCTTTAGACAAAGTACCTCTATCTAAAGGAGATATATATTTTAATCATTTACTTTTGTTACAAGTGACTGTGATTTTATTGTACCAAAACTGTATGGTCTTCGAGAAGACACTCTTAACGCAATCATTATTCAAAGTAAACTTTTTCTAAATCTAAAACCACATTCTTGCTTCTACCCCTTTCGAAACATTATTTTCCTTTCCAAAAATTTTACAAAATCACGTGAGAATAGAAAATTCAAAAAAGAAAAAAGACCAAACTGCCCTTCAATTTGTTTTCCTTCTACCTTTTCCAGTACACCTCCTTAATTAAAACATTTTCTTTCGTTTTTTGCTTTAATTCGCTATTGAATTCTGAAAATTGATCATCATCTTGAGCTCTTCCATGTTTATGTCTAATGCTTAACGCCCTACTCCATGCTTGGGCACCCATCTTCCCTTTCATTCTTCGACTTTTTTTTTCCCTTTTTGGCCTTGCTATTAGATAGCCAATGAATTCTAATTATACTACAACTTCACTTTTGAAGGTTGCGTCACTCTTAAGTCCCTCCTTTAATGCTTTGTAAATTGGTTTTGTTTTTCCTAGTTTTTAAGTTCTTTTATGATGTTTTCTCTTGTAGGTTACAGTGTCACATTTCGCAGGAGTTCTTGATTCATTTTTCTATGAAACCAAAAAATGTTTTTATTTTTCTTTTTTAGGTGACTGTTGTATTCTTTCAACTTTTTCTATATCATTTTGAAAAAATTTCAAGCTTTTCAAAAGAGATTCTATCATGTTTCTTTTGCGACCATTTTAAAAAAAACGCATGAGCTTTCAAGCTCTCCCATTTATAAAAAACGCATCTGCTTTCAAGTTCTTCCCTTGTGTGCGTTCACATGTCATAACATCCATCTTCATGCCTTCACATGCATCTCATCCATTATCATGGCCATGTCGCATCCATCATCATACCCAGATATGGCCTGACAACTCATGAAGATTACCATCTCCCTCTATCATAAACACTCTTTTATTTTATCTCAAGTTTTGAAAAGCCTTTTGAAAAAGGGTGTGGTTTGGATAAGGTTGAAACCTTGAACCATTAAATTAAGGCACACTTTCAAATTTTATCACATGATATAATTTTGGTGTAAAAAATTATTAGGATGAGAATCCATTTTCGTCTCTAATTGTAAAATTTTAAACTTCAAGAAACGTTCATCAAATGGAGCTACCAACACATGAAAATCTTGAAAATGGATGCCAGATAATTTGTTGTAAGACGCACTAGTTTTGGGACTCGAAATGTTTTTATTTTCTCAGTGTTTTGAGACTCGGCCGAGTTACTCGGCCTCACCCTAAGGGCGAGGTGAGTTTTATTCGAGTAGCTGTACCGATTTTTAGAAGTGCATATATATTTTTTTGCCATTTATATATTTTGAAGCCGTAAATGGTGTATTGGATAGCATGAATGCATTCTTTTTACAGGGACAGGGTTTCAATTCCCCCAAGGTAAGGCACTTATTTTTGTGTTTTGTTTTTTGGGATTAAAGAGACTTGAAAACTGTATATCATGTTGGGAAAGTATATAATGAGATCATTTACTTTCCGTACAAGGTGGTCACAATTAATCTTGATCATGGAAGTGAAATTAGGGAGCTGCACTTATTTCATTGACTAACTTCAAAGTTCAAAGAAATTTTCTCGAACTTTGTGATGCACTTAAGCTATTAGATTTCACATTTGATGGTTGTATGTAATTGTGACATCCCTATATAGAAGAGTGGTTTCAATAAGGTTGCAACATTAAACAATCCAATTAAGGCGCACTTCTAAATTTTATCATAAATATAATTTTGATATAAAAAATTCTTATGATGGCTTGAGAATCTATTTTCGTCTCTAATAAAACTTTAAACTATAAAAATGGTTCAATTCATATACATCTATAAACACATGAAAATCTTGAAAATGGACGGTCCAAATAATGTTACACTATTTCTCGAACTTAAAATCTTTTTTTCCTTTCATATTCATACATCTCGATGTCGAGATGATCGATTAGAGGGTTTTTCAAGATCAAAACAACCTTTTATGATGGATTTTTTAGGTAAACCTGTAATTCTATATTTTAAGATTGCAACCTTGTAGAAACTTTTTCTGGCCTCATTGTATATGATCCTTGTCACTATTATGTCATAAAACGAGAATAGCATAGTGGATTGCATATACGAGTGCCTATAAAATCGATTGGGGTTCGATTCCCCCCAGATAATCAGGTAGAGCCTGAATTTTTTTTTCAAAAAAAGAGGGGCCTCATTTTTTTTTTAAGGTAGATCCTGAAAATTGTTTTTTAAAAAATGGGCCTCATGGGAAGGGAATCGAACCCATGCGCCTTAAACACAGGCAATGTCTAATATTAAAACTACAATGGTTAAAAAGTTTGTACAAAAAGTATCCTAAACAAACCCACGAGCTCATAGAGATCCTCATACATAAATTGGACAAGACAAACGTTATGCCACTTCGAGTTTTATGCAAAATTGAAGCTTTTATTTATTATCATGTTTTTCTGTTTTTATCTTCTTCTTATTAAGTGAACACAACTCAGGCGAGTTACTTGGACTCTACCGAGAAACTCGCCTCGGCCAAAGTCCGAGTACATTTGCCGACTCATGTTTCAAAACATTGTTTTTTATTTTCATAGTTATATATCTCAATGTGAAGATGATCAATCAATTAAAAGTTTTTTGACTTGAAAATAGCTTTTTGTGATGTATTTTTGAGGTGCACCTTAATTCTAAGGTTGCAGCCTTATATAAACATTTTCCTGTGAAAAATGCTTTGCTCAATTGCTCGTCTTATCTTTTCCTTTGAAAATACATAGCATTGCATTTTTGCATGCAAGCTTATGTTGTCCGACGGAACAATCCCAAATAAAGACACGAGGCCAAATATTTTGTGCAGTTTTTCCTAAAAATAGTAAATAACTATATATATTTAAAAAGTAAGTAATTTGGAATAATCATGTAATTTTGAAGCTCGCCAACTTTGATCTTTATTAGAGAGGTCTCTCAGAGTGTACTCTTGTGTTTGTATCAATTCCATCGTGTTTCAAGTAGTTCTTGTGAGGAGGGAGAGGGATGTGCTTGTATAGTCCCCACTTCTTTTTTAGCAAGATAGTAGGCATGGACCCTCAAGTTATAATTTAGAGCCTTTCTTAACATTTTGTTTTCGCTCATATTTATTCTTTAGTAGAGAGGGAAAGAGGTCTTAGCTCGTTAATGGCTTGGTCATGTTTGTGCCTGCATGTCCTTATTCTCTAAGGGCATGTTGTGAATATATATCTTTGGGGAATATTTTGACATGAAAAATTCTTTTATGTGGTTAGTTGTGAAAATAATTTTACACCAATTTGTTGTTAATTGGTGTGAAAAGATGTATTGAGATCAATTGTTGTGAAAATATTTTCGCATCTAATCATATGAGATAATTTTTTCATGTGAAAATAATTTCATGGGAAATATTTTCACGCGAACCAAACGTACCTTAAGGGTATGGTTTGTATGAGGCACCAAGCTCAAATAATCAAAGTAGGGTGTAGTAGCAAGGTTTCGGTGCCACATAAAGCCTTGAGATCGCCTGAAAATCTACATTACCTCTAATTGGGAAATTTAAAGCTCTAAAAATGGTGGTTTCATATAATGTGTTATAAAATACATTGTTTTATGATTCCGAATATTTTGTCTGTTTTTTTAATCCATACATCTTAAAGTTGAGATGATCTATTGGAGGGTTTTCTAACGAACAACCCTTTTAGGTGGTTTTTTTATGTTTACATTTTTTCTTTAACATAAGAATGACACCTTATGAAAACTTTTGGATAATTTATTTCCGTACCAGATGTAAATATAGTTATAACGAATTGGCACAAATTTATGCAAATATTACATAGAAAGACACTGGTTCAATATTTCCAACATCATACGGGTATTTTTTTAAAAAAACACCACATGCCCT